TGCTGCACGATGACTTAGTCTGTTGCATGGCATCGGTTGTGTCAACCAGTCAGCGCCACCGTGGCAGGGTTACACCAGCGTCTATTGGCGGTCTTTGCGCTTGCGTGGCCCACTCCTCCACGCTCCCACCAATGTGTGCATCTAAATGACTTCGGCTCGAAGCACCGTGCCTCGAACATGCGTTGTTGAAATTGCTCTCATCAAGCCTCGTCATCCTCTGCGGCGTTGCTGTCATCGTCGGGCTCGGCATCGCTTCCTTCGTCCTCGCTCGAGTCTGACGTGTCGTCGTCGGGCATCGCGATGCTGTTCAGATACGTGATCTGCCACGGTTGTTAGCGGCCTTGTGTGCAACGCCTCCCGGGAGATTGCTGTGGTCGTCCTTCACACCTGAAGGATTTTACGATGGGCGGGTGACTGCATTGCCAACGCACTACTGGCCGGCACTATAGTCACCCCATCGCTTGCACCGTACAGGCACTTCCCTAACAAGTTGCCGCCGCTCTTATCTTGTCTTGTCCAATGGGAACGTGAGGCCGTTAATGTCAAGAGTATGGAAGGATAGACTTACAAAGGGTACCATACTGGCAATGAGTTCACCCACTCGCTCCAAGCCCCCAGAACCAACAATTTCATCGTCTGCGAGCTTCCGCCCCATGGTGTAGTTGCGGAGCCGCATGAGTTCGACATCTTTGTGGTCATGGTCATATCCCTGGAGAGGTGTCAGCAAACATGAACAGCTGCAGTGAGTTTGAAGTTTGAAGTTTGTTCATCATAATCCCCGCGACTGGGCTTTTGCAGACTGCTGCGAGCAGAGAACCCCGCCTACTCAAAGGGTGCTAGCCATGACTACTCCAACTCAGCTCAACTTGTTGAGTGCGGGGCGACTTGAAACTCTATTTGCGGGACGGCACACAGTTGTAACGCACAACCTTCCAGTACGAGACTGAAGCTGATTGTACGTCATCGTGATCGTGTGCCGTTTGCGAGATGGTGTAGCGGAAGATTTTCATGGAGATACATCCTTGTAGGCGGGGAGCTTCCGTGCTAGTTTTGGTGTTGAACCGTGTCAGGCGGCGGACAGTACCCGATCGCGGCAAAGCCGATACCAGACCTTGCAAAAATCGACTCTGCTTGTGAGAAGACGTCGTGACCATGGTGTTTCACAAGCATATTTCATGCTTGATGACACGAGATCTGTCTGCTGATACCCTGCTGTCTCAAGGGATGGATTAAACAGATGCTGCATACCTTTGGGTTGCGTTTCAGAGCATTCGACTGATTCATCGACAAGCTCGTGAAAGCCTTCACAGCCTTCTTCTCGTCATCTTTGACTCCACCCAGGAAAGCTTCTCGAATACCAGAGTCCGTTAGTACGGCCTTGATCTTGTGCGGTTTGCGATCAATGTCGCGTCGTAGTTTGGCCAGAGTCGACGCGTCAGGCTGCCAGAAGCCACCACCTTTCAAAGTCAGCGCATTCTCGTGTAAGAAAGGATATCGATGAGCCATTGACGCGCCGCTGACTATGGTGCCTCTTGCATAGGCAGAATGGATACACACTGACGTGCATCAGATGAATGTACCATCCCGACGACACCTCGCTGCACGCTGCCAAACCCTCAAACGGTTCGATACGTTACCTCCCGGATACCGCGCGGTACAACCGAGAAGACAATATGTTACTCTACGCTGTCCGACGAGACATAGGCACATGGGTCCAATTGTGTGGCATAGTGACCGTCAATATTCCCCGCATGGCCATAACGTGCAGCGCTGGTCGGATCGGTCAATCTCACCGCATGGCGATGCATTGTCGTCTCCGAGCCGGCAGTCGTATAATGCGACACATGGTCAGGAGTGCAAGGTCGACCACACGACAAGAGTCGCTGTGGAGCCGAGGCTCGCAGCAGCTGTCGTGGTGACGAGCATTGGGTACACTTGCATACCCTATGCACATGGAGTCGAAAGAAGCAATGCGGTGGCCACGAGGTCACTTCGCACTGCGCTTGAGTTCCACAACAGCTCGCGGCTCGGGTGTCTCCGCGAAGACGAAGAGAGGAGAATCGAACATACCTACGAAGCTACCACCATTGGGTTGCACCTGGATGTAGTAGTGTGCGTAGGGTCCCTTGCGTCCCTGCACGTCGTATACAATGTCAGTGTGGGGCTCACATAAGCTTGTACGCATGTGTGACTTACAGTTCTTGACCAGGCCGCAGAAAAGTAAGTCTAGATCAGGTCAGCCTGCTTTGCATATAGCCGTGAAAGGGCATCATGCTGAAGCTATTCGTCGGGTCGCAGAGTATATGCCATAGCGCCATGATGATTTGGCAGCATGCTGTGTCTCTCGACTTCGTGACACGGCTTCAAGGGCATGACCCCACCCTAGCGTGGAAGTTCGATGTATCCACTCACCTTGTACGGGGTTGGGTCTTTCGAGAACCGAATATCTTTCTACTGTGAGCATAATCCAGCTGAGACCATACTTCGGGCTCACCTCTGTAAATCCGGTAGATCTACACTTTTTAGTAAATCGTACTGCAACAGTCCAGTCGGAAACACTTACTACATCTTTGACAGGCAACTCTGGGATGGTCTCATCTGCCTCGATGATCTTCTCGGATACCTTCTCCGCAAAAGTGGTAAAATCTTGGAATGAAACTCTAAAGTCAGGGTCATGGACTACGATATAGACGTCAGCTAGCGATCCGATCGTGCCGTTTGACATGAAACGTAATAAGCCATCACTCACGCTTCAACCATTGGCGGTCGTTGTTAGCCGTCAAGTCCTTAAGGAACAGCATAGTATTTGGGTGGATTGTGTGATCCAAGTACGGCGTGTCGCCTGCATCTCGAGCCTTTGGTTTCTTGATGATCAGCTGCGTTCCTGGTGCGAGCTTCGCACCGGGTTTCCATAGCTCTTTCTCGCCAGCGACCTTCTTGTGTATGGCAAGGCTCTTGGTTTCGCGCCCTCTAGGAGTTGCTCGCTTGCCCTCAGATTCGTCGTCACTGGCGGTTTCATCGTGCTCGGATTCCGACGATGGATCCTTGTCGCTATGTTCCTCGTAGTCTGATGCTACAACCTCATCCTCGTCATCGTCGGGTGCGACGTCTGCCTTGGGTTTGTTCCCGTCGCTATCCGTGTCGCTCTCAGGCTCGACGTAAGACTTCCTTGCGGTAGCCCGTGCTCTCTTAGACTGCCGTGCTGGAACCTCCGGCGCAGGACGTTTAGAATTGCTCCTGGGAGCTGGAGCACTTGCGCTTTTAGTGGCTTTACGTGGCATGATCTCGAGTGATGCGACTTGGGAAAGTGATAGGCGTGATACTCAGTTGTCATTGCAGGTGCCTTCGTGGCTGCTTGGAAGATGACGCGCGCACAGACCATCGATGACGCACTCGAACGCGAAAATACAGCGCGCTGTCACGTTTCCACCCCAGCCAGGAAGCACGCCCGACTGACATGCCGACACGCTTCGAAGCTCGCAAGCAAAAGATCTTGGAGCAACTTGACGCTCCAGATGGCGAGTATCATGATCTGTCGCCAAAGGGGTCCGTCGATGCGCCCATCCGAGATTTAATCGGCGAGATCAACAATCTCCCAGGACTAGTCACCACTAGCAGCTGTTCGGGGCGCATCAGCGTGTTTTTGGAAGGACGCAAAGCAGACAATGAAGTACCAGATGCATTGCCTGAAGGCGAGAGTTCACGCGCTGGACCAGGAGGAAAAGGTGGTGGGGGTGCATGGCTGTTCATCTCACACACGCCACTTGGGCGAGACGAAGCAACATGTGACCTCATGTCAAAGTTCGGCTTAGACAAGGCTGAAGCAACGGAGGAAACACCTAGCGTGTCCAGCAGGTACATTCATCTTAAATTTGAACCTATGGTATCTTCAGTCGTCATGGCAGGTTGACATGGTCTGACGTGGCACAGATACTCCACGTCCTGAGTGCATCCATGGATCATGCCCAAGGTGTCCTCACTGCTGCCTTAGCTGCCGGGTTCCGTGAGAGTGGCGCCGTTAGTCTAGGTTCAGCGAAGACAGCAGAGTCAAACCCCATGGTGGCTGTCCGGTCAGCTGGTTATTCATTCGACTCCATCATTGGGTATCAAGATGGTGATGGCCGCAATGTTGCCTTGGTAGACGAGCGGTATCTACGAACACTAGTAAACATCGTAAACGAGCGATTCAACATCAACTTCGATCGAATAAGCCGGTTTCGCAAGGCCCTTTTGGAGACGTACGAACCGACTGCGACAAGTGGATCCAAGCCAGATTGGGAAGATGCGGACGCGAGGAAACGGCGGAAAAGAGAAGAAGGCCTTGCGCGGCAACAAGCTCTGCAAACCCAAGTCTCTCGAGGAGACAATAATTCATCAGCACTGGAGAACATAGACAGCATGGAAGGCATATTCTCTTGATGATACATGGCACAACACAGACATATGCGCATCGACGAGAATGCCTGTGTTGAACACAACGAAAGTTCTACTCTGTCATAGACGGCTATGAGTCATATTTTGTCTATCGCGACGGCGAATTTGAGTTCACGATGAGTGGTTGCTTTTCTATACTTTACGGAGCCAGACGACAATGTCTCCGACGACTAGTCTTCATAGCTCAGATGTAGAATGAGCAACGTTCGGCCGGTTGTGCATCCAACGACTCATAATATTAGCGTATGTGTACACAAAACTCTGGAGACGTACTTATTTCTTTGCATGCTATGATATCCGATAACATAGTGTCATATACTGCGTGTTTTCCAATCCATTTTGGTGATGCTCCACCAATAGAGGCTTAGCGTACATATGTCTCCGACGTAGATCGGCGACTTTGCTTCCATCTTCGCAACCATCTTCAACATACAAAAGGAACATTGAATCTTCCCCAATTTCCCAATTGCTGCCTCTCACATCTTCCAAACATTTTACATACCCATTGAGACTGTATCACCACTACCAAAACCACCAAACTACCCCTCACCATAGCCCCATCCAAGATGAGCTACGCAGAAGCCAACCGCCGGTACTTCGAGTATGCGACCCCTCCTCAAATCCAGAAATGTGGAACCATACTAAACGTATCACAGTGCCATATCCGACTCCTACGACAGCAAACCCTGGTTCAAAGTCGTCAACGACCGAGTCGCCACTACCCTCCGCTCTGACCTATCCTGGGTAGGCATACCCTTCACAGATTCCACCACTCAACCAGTCCGCCTTCTAGACTACGCATGCGGAACCGGCCTCATGACCCGCGTCTTCGGACCCTACGTCACCTCCACCCAAGGCATCGACATATCACCCAACATGGTCTCCACCTACAACACGCGCGCCCGCGACGCCGGAATTTCCGAAGATGTAGTCAATGCCGTTGTCGGCGACCTTTTCGACAAGTCTGATCCAAATCCTGAAGCTCTTTCCGGGGAGAGGTTTTGGGATTTCGACATCGCGACTGTAGGATTTGGATTCCATCATTTTGAGGATGTGGTGTTTGCGGCAAGGCAGTTGAAGGAGAGGTTGAGGCCGGGCGGTGTGTTGGTTATTAATGATTTTTTGGAGGGAGGTGATCTTTTGGCGGGGGAAGATGGGAGTATGATTGAGGGAAGCGAGGGGAATCATGCTGTTCATGGTCATGGACATCATCATGGTCATGGGGAGGAGAAAGGTTCTGGATCTCAAGGACATGGACATCACCACGGGCATCATCACCACCACGGTGCTGAGAAGAAGCATGATGTTGGCGAGAGTAACCCTGAGTTCCGGCAGAAGATGAATGCCTCGATAGTGGTTCCGCACTTTACTATCGATGGCGTAAAGCAGTTCTTCACGGAAGCTGGGTTCGTGGATGTGGATGTCATTACGATGAAAGAGAAGAACTATATGGAGTTCGGTGGCAAGAAGCTGTGGCGCACGATCCTGTTTGCTAGAGGACGCAGGCCGATGGAAGCACAAGATGGCTCGGGAAAGAGTGAACTATGAGCTTCTCCAAGAAGGCGAAGCCCAGTAGTCACGGGCCAGCGATACAGTGTAGTTGACATCGTGAGCAAGATCAGCAACAGATAGATTGTACATATGGGATATCAGCAACCAACAAAATATAACACCCAACACCAGACCAAGTGCCCTTCTATCCAAGAAAATACCAGTTTACCACTTCCCCACCAAAGGCAGATCTCGGCTTGAGAAACCCACACTAATTCCAAATTCGCCATTAGGCAGCACCCAATTCTGCCTCTTGACATCCCAATAACTCAAATCCCTTCTCGTCACATCAAACTGCACAAGCTTGCCTGCATTCTTCTCAAGGTGGATCTTTTCAAAGCCGCGCAGCACACGAACGGGGAAGTCGACGGGCTCACCCGTCTCGTGGTCCTTGTAGTTTTGCGGGAAAGAAATGTAGAGCTGCACTACTGATGCGCCGTCGACGGGTCCGGCGTTTTCTAGTGACGCCGATACAGTCAGGAGCGTGGTGTAGAGATCGGGGTTGCCACCTGGACCACCGCCTGCTTGGCTAAGAGGAGATGGAGGAGCGGGAGGAGCGGGGTCGGATTTCTTGATACCCTTTACGGAATCTAGCCATGGGTAGATGAACCGTTCGACCTGGTTGAAGCCCTCAGGGAACAACACAGATTTGGGATCTGGTAGATCGGTAGAATAGCTTGGTGGAGTCAGGCCGTCAGGTCGAGGCTTGGGAAGAGGTGTTTTAGCGCCCTTTTCTTCGATGAGGAGAGAGGACAGCTTGAAGTCGGTGTACGAAAGACCGTAGCCAAACTCGAATCGTGGGGCGATGTTCTTCTTGTCGAAGTGACGGTAGTCAATGTAAAGACCTTCGGAGAAGTCCTGCTGAGGCGCCAGACCATCCTTTGGGGTGGGAAGATACTTGATCTTGCTGCCTGGGCCATAGTCGTCTTCCTTCTTGGCGATTGTGTAAGGTAGACGTCCAGATGGGTTGACGTCACCGAAGAGTACGTCTACGATGGCGTTACCAGATTCGGTACCGGGAAGATTGGCGATAATGACGGCTCTGACATTCATGATGTCGATGAACTTCTCCAGGATTACAGGTCCAACAGTGTGGATGACAACCACGACATCGCCCATGCCTTCTCCGCAATCTTTAGCAACATCCTGAATTAGCTTCTCGCCGCCCTTTTGCAGATTAAGGTCATTCCTGTCACCACGAATGCCCTCATAGTGCTGGTAGCCTTCTCCGGCGTCGGCGTTGGCGAAGACAATGCAGAGGTCCTGATCGACGAGAATCTCCTTCTGGCTAGGCAGTTTGTTTTCTAGCCAATCGGTGACGTAAACAGTCTCGTTGTCGAACGCGTCTCGAATAGCGGACATGGGCTCCACTAGATACGAGAAGTTGACCGCGCCAGAACCCCATCCTGAGGCCAATGTACCTTCGTTGCAGCTCTGATCAGGGCAGTGGTTGATTCCCTCATGAGGGAGACGTGCATCTTCACCAAAGACACCAACACGGAACTTTGTCTTGGCCTTGCCGCCAGTCTTCCAGCCCTTTCGGTCCAGAGGCAGCATCTTGCCCTCGTTCTTCACCAGGACGGTACCTTCGGCTGCGACGCGACGTACCAGGTGTCCATGGGCTTCTTTCCCTTCTCCTTGTGCGTTGACATACTGATTTACGACGCCTGTTTCGTGGTCCGATGGGCTGCCCTCGTGAAGCTTGCCGACCCTTTCGTTCGTCCACGAAGAGAAGTTTGGTCCGTCATTTTCCCACTTGTCCTGGCCAACCTGATACCAAGATGCCACAATGCGAGTAACCATGTCGTCGACACGATCGATGGGCACGCTTCCATTGAGAACCGCACGGGTGAGCTCAGGGCCCCATAAGCTGTTGCCCTTGGCCCATCTCAAGCCATCTCCGGGCATGGTCATATCCAAGCCCGCAAGAGCACTAGCCACGCCTGAACGCTGTGCCAACCAGTCACTCTGAATGAAGCCCTGGAAACCAAGTTCATCCTTCAGGACACCGTTGAGCAGCTTGGAGTTTTGGCAGGCATAGCTTGAATTGACCTGGTTGTACGAACACATGACGCTGGTCACTCCAGCTTTGACAGAGTCGGCGAAGGGCCATGCGTAGATCTCGTGTAGTGTGCGGTCGTCGATGTTGCTCGATATCGCGTTCGGAAGGCCCCACTCCCATGCTTGTCTGAAGTGCTCTTGTTCGTTAGCGACATAATGCTTCGCGGTAGCCATGACGCCCTCCTCCTGGATGCCCTTGATGGTTTGGGCAGCTGCAATGCCCTGTAGAACGGGGTCTGAGCCGAAACCCTCCCAGACGCGACCACCAGCTGGCATTCTCCCGAGAGGACCCATGGCAGGACCCAGCAGGACGTTGACGCCCTTGAGGCGTGCTTCTTGGCCGTGGGCTTTGCCGCGTAGGTACATGAGTTCCTTGGACCAGGTCGCGCCGGTGGTGATACCGGCAGGGAATGCGGTGATGTTGTCGGCGAATCGAATACCCAGTGGGCCGTCCTGAACCCATTAGTTTAGTCCTGCAGACATGCGGAGTGTACGTACCTGTAGACACAAGCTGGGGAACTTCAGCCTGTCTACACGCCCAGTCTGGCCGACGCAGAGATCCATGCTCCAGCCTGTGCCCGTTGTGATGTTGACCTTCTCCGGCAGCGTCATCTGCTTGACCAGGTCCGCAGCCTTATTGTAGCTGTCCTCCCATGCCTTGTCGGTGCCACCCTTTGGCGAGGGGTACCACGGCGGACTCAGCCCATCCTCAGGCACCGAGACTTTGTATGCCCATATGCCACCCGAGGCGAGTATCAAGACGGTGGCGGCGACGAAGACCAGCAGCCAGCAGCAGCACCGTCCTGGCGCACACCGCGACTTCCTTTGCTGTACGGGGAATGGCGCCGCGTCCTCGGTGTCTCTGTAGGACGCCTTCCGAACCTTGAGATCGCCGGCGCTCTTCTTGCGCCTGATCTTGCTATCGAATGCGAGTGGGTCGTGTTCTTCGAGATCTTCTAGCGTCCCGTTGGATTCGGAGGAGAAGCGCGTCGGCGTCTCGACATCGTCGTCGACGGGGTTGTCGAGCTTGGCGTACTTGCCACGGCGCATTTCGTGGGCTTCGTAGGGCGGCATTTTGGTCGGCGCCGGGGCCTGCTTTAAAGGAAGAGGTGGGCGGTGTTGTGTCGTTGGCGGCTCAAACGGCTAGGCTATCGATGACGGCGCGAGCGTTGAGCTCTATGATGTTGAGGCTAGCATTGAATGCGATAATCCGGCAATCACGAGGGAGTGATGGATCGAGCAAAGAGGATGCTAAGATATGTCTGTAGGACAGAAGACACAGCGTACACAGCGAGCGTCGTGGTTCAAGGCGAATGTTTCACCGGGCTGGCTTGCGCGCGATGGCGTCTCGTCCCTGACTAGGTGCCGATCTCGTGGGTCGACTCCCGCCCGCGCTTGCATCCAGGCGGGCCTTCTGGTTGCGCATCATCCACCCTTCACCAAACCACGCTGACTGGATTGTTTGCATAGATGTTTGAATTCATGGCTACATTTCCCAACCATTCGGTTCGTCATTTCTAACTTCACATCCTCTCCAACAAGCCTATGACCGTTCACGCTTATGCGCCGACCTGGTCCAGTATGCCCTGCAGGTTGATCGACTTGGGGCGCTCGATGGGAAGGCCCAGTGCCCTGTCCCAAATCAGCTGTGCGAGCGGGCCCAGACCACGGCTGACACCGAAGGTCGCTGTGTAGTAGAGCGTCTCCTTGAAGCCGAAGTGGTGGAAGAGAACACCAGACGACGAGTCGACGTTCGGGAAGGGGTTCTTGGTCTACAAAACAAGTCAGCAATGATCTGAGTCGATCAGAATATTTCATCTCACCTTTCCGTGCTCCTTGAGGACATCCGGCGCAACCTCCGAGTTCTTCTTAACCAGCTGGTAAACAGGGTCTGCCGCAATCTCGGGTCGTGCGTTGGCAAAGTCCATGAGAGCTTCGAATCGCGGGTCGGGCTTCCTGAGCACGGCGTGTCCGTAACCAGGAATAACACGTCCAGACTTGAGAACGCTCCAGAGGAACTCGTTTACATCCTTCTCGGTGAACTTCTCACCAACGACCTTCTGCATGTCGAGGATGAAACGCAGCACCTCTTGCGCAGCCAAACCGTGTAGGGGTCCTGCGAGTCCTTGAAGACCAGCACTGTAGCTCAGGAAAGGATCGCTGAGCGCAGATCCGACCAAGTGAGTTGCGTGCGCCGAGACGTTACCACCCTCGTGGTCACCGTGCAGAGCGAGGTACAACCGGAGAAGGTCTTGGAAGCCCTCGTTCTCCTTGCCTGGCTTGCCCAACATGGCAGCGAAGTTGTACGACCAATCTTGGTTCAGGTCGATCTCGTTCGGGAGAGCGCCTCCGCCACGGTATGCGTTCTGGTAGATCTTCGCGGCGATGGTAGGCAGTTTGGCGAGCAGGCTGATGCAGTCGTCGAAGGTAGGCTCCCAGTAATCGGCCTTGTTGATACCCTTCTCGTAGGCTTTCGCGAACTTGGACTCGTAGTTCAGTGCTGAGACGGCGCATGCGAACTGTGTCATCGGGTGGAGATCTTTGGGGAAGTCGTCCAGCATCTTCTGGACGAACTTGGGGATCTGGCCCTTCTCGGCGAGCTCCCGCGAGAGTGCGCGAGTTTGTGATACTGATGGCACTTCGCCTGTGAGGAGCAACCAGAACATGGCCTCAGGAAGCATCTCAGTGCCGGAAGTACCCTTGGGCAGCTCCTTTTGGCAGTCTTTAATGGTCTTGCCGTGGAATCGAATGCCCTCGTTCGCATCAAGAACCGAGCCTTCCCAGACCATGGCCTTGAGACCCCTTCAGTTATGTTAGAGCGCGCTTCTAGATATGATCAGGGTCCATACCTCATGCCACCGAGCGCGTTCTCAACCTTGACATCGCCGAGCTTCTTGTCGGCATGTGCCTTGACCTTCTTCAGGAGTTCGCGTTTC